ATCAGTATGAGTAGATTATCCGCTCACGCGAAAAGCTGGCACCGCCGCGTGAGTGTTATTTAGCTTAGATTACTTGTTATCATTATTGAATTCAGACAAGCAGAATTGCTGCAATGAACTAGATACATTTGCTTTGACCCTTTTGGAAAATATCCTTTGAAACAGCGCACTGCATGGCTACGTTTAAATACATGCACCTAAATTTGCACTTTATTGGAATGTTTTCCCCATTCTATAAACCAGTTTCGAAGGAATGCTTATTGACGTCTTTTATTGTTATGTAATTACTTCTAACAATGCCTTTTTAGACTTTTTTCTTTAAGTGAATATGCAGAATTGCATGTAGCATTTCGCTTCGGTAGTCAATTTATGGAAAAAGGTGGTTTAGAAGCATATATTTATTATTTATGATTTGTTTCTTTCTAAAGAACTCGATAGTAGAATGTTTTTTATGTGCTATAAATATTGATATGACGCTAAAACATTATCCTGTCTTACAGCCCCAAAATTCTAATGACGGTCTTTTAAATCGACTGCCTTACGCCGTTTTTTCATTGTCAAAGCAAAGCCCTAACCGTACAGGGTGTTTGCTGCAGAGAAAACGATCTTGCATACAATATAACAGCCATTTCATAGTGTCTGGTAGTGAAAAAATGATCGTGCATACGATAGAACAGTTAATGAAGGCAACATATGTTGCACACTACAAATTATTGAATAGAATCGATTCAGATGAATACGCTTATTAGGAGCATACATACAAATTACGTTTCTGGGAAAACAGTTAGTTTAGACTCCAATAATTTTCAGTCACATTTTGTTGAATTTCGATGGCAATGGGTCATTTTCATTCGTCTATTCTGATATTGATACATTTTCACTCCCAGATTAACTCGTTTTGCTGCGGGTACCTGTAATGCGAAACAGCGTACTAGAATATTTTAACACAGGCGTTGTACTAGTATTTTGCTTGTATGTGATTATTGCATATTGTCCATATAAAATACAGAGGAAGCAAATGCCAGAAAATATATATTGATAAATGAATAGAGAGAAAATTAAAGATAAAAGATGAAAGATGAAACTATATTGCCTGACTAAAATCAGCTATTGAATCAGCCATTATGACAGACAGGGTGGGTGCGAGTTGTTTGCACAACCACAAGATGTGTTTTTTGTGTAAAAACACTCACTATTCTCGATTTGGTAAATACATACAGTCACTATTTTTATTTTCGATAAAGTTATTATATCTCATAATACTGCAGCCATATACATATCATCATTCCTGTACACTATGTTTAGGCCTATGTGAAAGAGCATAATTCTTCTCTTACGATATGTGAATATTGTGTACCAAAGAATCTAGCATTCCTGCTGATTGAGTTTGTCTCTAAGTTGTTATTTTCTTTACGAACCAGTTGCATGTCTGATATAAAACCTGAGCTGACCTACTGTGTGTGGCTTAAAGCACAAGAAAGCATCTAGTGTTAACGTCACTAAGTAATATTGCTGGGATGGATATTGAACCTGTCCTCTAATATTCTTAATGGCACCTTCTGGATTTACGTGCTATCATTATCAGTCACTGCGTTAGGGTTCTGTTTACAGAAGGGCAATGGATAATGACCAATAATAACATTTCAACGTTCTTGATTACATTTTAAGCACCTTTCTACTTCTTTTGTCAGTCTCTTTTGGAAAAAGCACATGATATAAGAACAATAATAACTTATTCTATAACTCCATAGTTCAATACCAGTGCCTTTGACCAACACCAATCGCATAATCATGTCAATGGTGAGTTTCTTTTTTTAACGAATCATGGAATGTCTCTAGGGAGCGTGTGTGTATATATTGGCAAGGACCGCAGGGCAACAGAATTATTCCATATCACTTCTGGAACTCGGATTTCCAGAACCCTTTGGGAAGTGACCTTCAGGACAGTGGAGACTGTATAATGGCCCAGGAATAATACCAATAATATTTGAAATCTTGACTGTTCTTAGCCAACTTTGTTGGTAATTGTCCCTGTCTGGACAATATGGCGGCACGTGGTACTACAGAATCATTTACCCAGTGTCCGCTGGCAAAATATGACTTAAATGACAAAGGTGTTGATTTATGATTCTTCCTTTTTTTAGTGTTCTCCCTTTCTTCATTACTAGTGATAATAAAGATAATAAACTTAATTTAAAAAGAAGAAAAATATTTTAAGTGTATACACTTATCTTACACATGACCTTCTACTGTTTGATTTACGATACACCCAGAAATACCTGTTCAATATTTGATTTTGAAATGACCACAATCTGCAGAGTATTGATATAATGATACCAACATGTAAAGATAAAAGCGGTCTGGGTATTATTAAGCTTCTGTCAATGGCGGAAATATGCCTATTATAAATATAGTAATCAAATCTGCTTTGATGTTCAGGTTAAAGTATTTTTTCTCATTGGTGGCAGTTTTCAGCGTTTATTTCAATATTAGATAGCATTATTTTCAATAACAGCCCATATTGCCTCGGGTAGTGATTAGATTGTGTTAGGACTGCCATATATATGCCTCTCTGGTAATCGCTCACAGATTCAATGTATTTTGTATTTTGAGAGGGAGACTGGAGAAGAAGAGGGAGGAGCACAGGGGAAGGGGAAGAATTTTCACTTCGCTTTGGAGAACAATTTATTAGGAACTAAATGGGGGGGAGGGGGGGGGGTAGAGGGCTCATGTACCTCTCTTATATAGTTAATTTGTCCCCTGGTCCGCCAATTGGTATCGCGTTTGTGTAAATTAACTTCAGGAAAAAAACATACACGACGCTCTGAGAAGTCTTTAGTTTGTATCAATTTTGGGCGGATCTGAATATCCACGTGATTCTTTCTTTAATTTCTTTACAAATTGAATGAAAGTTAAAGGCGAAGATGACCTTGTTTATTGTGGTAAAGGAATCAAAACAGCGATCAAAATCCGTTCCAATGAGTATTTGCGCCATTAATTCACCCCTATGCCTTTAAGCACAAGCGATCCTGAACTAGAGACAGCTTATGCGGGTTATTCAACCGATACGCATACAAATCATACCGAACGCGTTCCACTGTAAAAATACCGGTTGCATAAATTGATAGATGACGAACTAGTATTGCAACATGTGTCCAATTTAATTTTCCAGATAACATACGCATGTTATCAATCATTTTTCTTTGAAAGTAGTAAGCCTCTTAATGAACCATATTATCCGATACTATCCGTCATAGGCCCTATACCAATTGGGGTGATGATTGACGACTTTGGAACCGGTTCCACAAAGCTTTCATTAGCTAACGTTACGGCGTTTATGTCTTTAATCTTAGTCTCATATGTAGCAGGCAAATTTAGAGAATGATACTCTATTGACTATCGTAGCTAACGATGGCTTCTCGGAGCTGCCTGGAGACCGTATGTGTAAGAGCAACACCCTGCCGTTCAGAGATATTTGAAAACAAACGTCTATTATAGACACGTCTATGTTGTTCTTTAGTAACTGGAGGATAGTTTCTTGTTATCTCTGAAACTCAGGGTACCTTTTAAGGCCTCTTTCGCGAATTTATGACATACGGGATCCACAAAATACGTAATGAAATGATATAGATTTATATGTTTAAAATGTGTTTTAAATTAGAATTGATATTCTTAAAAAAAAATCTGATACCAAAACGAAATCAAAACACAAAATAATATTTATACAAAGCACACACGGTAAATTGTGTATTGAGCGCCTCTTACAATAATAATGATAAAAATAACACGTTAGCCGAGGAAACTGTATCAAAAATAGCACATGCGTATCTCTGAGCTGCACACATCATAAATATTACCCTACAGTAGCATATGTCTGCGTCTGTCTGTGTCTGTGTGTCTGTGTCTCAATTTTCAGATACACATGTGTGTTAAAGCGCAGCATATCAAAACGAACACCTGTTTCGTGACATTTTATCGTATTTGACATATGCAAGTTACAGCGCCTTGCTTCATAACAGTACATTGTATATATTTCGGCTACCCTGAGCATTTAGTCCGATGCATGTCAACTTTATTTTATAAACTTCCTGATTAATCAAAAATATTACATCGGATTCTGACAGCCAGCGGCACAAACGCATAACCAATCATCCGAGTTTTCCTTCAGTAAAAGTGCGCGTGACTCAGTGAATACACTACTAGTAGTCTTACATTTATGATTGGCGTTGTACACGTCTATTTATAAACACAGACGCAACATGATTCCCCGGAAATTTAAAATAAAGAACCTAGTTCGCGTCAGTTTGGCACTCTGAAACCCGTGTTAATTTTAATGGATTGTATCAATACTGTCATTCTTGTTTCAGTGGTGACCTCTGATATATACGGTGTAAGATAAGACATTGGCATTTGGCATGTTTCTATGAATTGCCTTGTCTCGAGGTCCACAAGTTCTGAGATTTCACAAGCAAATGTTTCCCAGGAGAAATCTGATGGCACGGTTAAAGTTTGATTCCTTTTCCGATCTCCATTACCTTTATTGTAAACCGTCCTCAGGGGCAGGAAAACAGAATCGAGGGACAAAAAGATCACAGCGTTCGGAGATTGCTAGCTTTGTGTGGAGTAATTGGGTGTTAGATTAGATTAACCAGATTGGACGAACTAATAGATGAGTATCTACAGTTGACTTTATGACCGGAACAAATTTACAATGTTAAATAATCGTCTTGCTTGTTCAAGGGATGCGTATGTAGCTATCCGAACAACTGGATTTAAGGTTTTTCGACAGTGGCTGGGTGGGTAGCGGTGGGATGGTGGGTGGGGGATGGGGTGAAGCAATCAAAGGCCATTTTATTGTTTAATTTGTGTTTTAATTTAAAAAATTGATCGCCATTATGTGTTCAATCATCCAATCATCAATTAGTAAATGGCCATTTTGATGTAAACCTACCTACAAGTACCTACCTACAAGTACCTACCTACCTACTTCACTGTTCCAGGTGACGCCATCGACTGCTTCTCTTGCGTCTCAGCCAATGGCTCCGACATTGGTTGCCATGATCCGTTCAACCCCGCCCTCAGCAGAGTGGAGAAAGCCTGTAGACAGGGGATGGAGAACAGATACGGCCTATTCCCTGCCTCCTACTGCATAAAGATTAAAGGAGAAGGAGGTGAGTTTTTGGAGTAGTGGTGTTTTGTCTCTGTGATGGGAGGAGGAGGGATCCTAAAGCAGCAGAATAGAGTCTTGACATAGATTTATTTTTTTGTAGTATTGTGTTTTAAGGGCATTTTAACAGTAAAAGATTCAAAGAGGTACTCCTGAATAAAAGGAGCATACGAAAACTTCAATACGCGTACATCCCGCACTCATACGACCAAAGATTTGTTAAAGTTTAAATTTGTTAAATTATGTTAAAGTCTTTTTCTCAATAATTTGCCACTGCCGAGTAGTCCCCTTCAGAGCATGAAGAGCTTGAAATTACAGACGATAATTCACTAACACGAAGAACCAAAATAACCAACTTACAAACTAATCCAAGTCTACACCATTATTTTATTCCAGCGGTTTCAAAGAAGCAGATCTACGTCCGAACCTGCGCCATCGATACAATGGAGAACCAGTGCGGGGAGTTCCAGTTTGAGGGGGTTCTTTACAAAGGGTGTATCACCACGTGCAAGACAGACTCATGCAATACAGCACCTAGGACCACGCCCTTTTGGTCCTCTTTATTGGTGACTGTTATAGTAGTTCTGGTGCTTCTAAGGGTGAGGTGATCGTGCGGTACACTGTAACACCCATTTACAGAGACGATTCCATTAAATGATTGCCAATGCCTAAGTTCTGCGGAAAACTGTTCATGACTGATGTTTTGAGAGTGTAAACAGATTCTGTCCAGACATGACGATTTTCTTTTCATATCACAGACTAGAATACGCATGAGTAGTTCAGCACGATTACGGCGCCAGTGCGCGACAGCGAAACGTGTCTCACTTTGCTGCCCATGAACTGAGATGAAAAACGTTCTTTTTTAATCGCTGTAGGAGCATACTGGGGGACCGTCATGCCTGCCTGAGACGAGACGATCTTAAGCAATCATTTTGAAATAATTTGCATTATGTGTTAAATGATTTGGACGCAAATACTCTATATTACACTGTTGGCACACTTAGTGTTTACGCACAAAAGACGTATATAACGCCTTGTTTCAGTCGTGTACGACCAGGACGCATTGTGTCAAGTGAGATTATTAGGACGCACGCAAACAAACGGTCTGCACGAAATCAATCAGCTGTACCTGAATATTATGTGACCAGGCCGCCCAGGTATAACCCTCTGTAGAAATCAGTTTATATAAGACGGTAAATAATTGTATTAGGTGAGACTATGTGGCAACTCATTCGAATTATGTTAGATGTGACGTCCAGTGAGATTGTGTTAGATGTGACATTCAGTGAAACAAGACATTGAGTAGCATTGATATATAATGGATAATGCATGGTCGTTCAGTAATTCTACATCCTACAACGGCTTATCTATTGTTGTTCAGTTATTTTAGAAATTGACGTTGGCGAAGTGTTAATACATATCTCAATACTTTGCCTATTTTGTCGCCGAAAAGATGCCAAAGGCGCTTAACGAGTGGAGATATACTGTTACGTGTAAAAACAAGTTTCTTTTTGAATGTAAAGAAGACATTGTCAGTGAAACATTTTAGTGAATATCCCTGATGTTAACGAGTCAAATCTACATGTGCATAATATTTCGTCTCAATCCACAGCACTGCTGTTATGTATGATTAAAGATATTGACACAATATAATGGGGAAATCTTGCTTCACAAGACCTGAAAAGCGTGTATGTATAATTCAAGCTCGTCCATGTAGCGTAAATTACACCAAATTAGTGCATCCATAACAGCACAAAACAAAGTAGATTGCCCGGGGAAAGAGGGGTAGAGCAAGGATAATTGTTCTCGGGACAAGGGTGCTTCTCAAGCTTTTTTGTTTTGGTCATTCGGGGACTCGGACCAAACCACAATTATCAAGGGCGAAGTGGGTTTCCTGAATTTTTTTATTTTCACAAAACCATGAAGAAATCAAGGTGAATAACTCCCCCAAAAGCCACATATGTTTAATTTCCCACTGTGCGCAGAAAGATATTAGTCTAAATAGCATTGTTTGATTATGAACATTCTGCTATCCAGCTGTTTGGAGACCTTGAAAGTATTTAATTGTAAACTCCTTACATCCCTTTATACAAAACCAATCAACTGGCTCAATTAGAAAAGGTGGCCGCACAGGTGCGCATGAACAGGGGACTGGACAAAAGGCTGACCTCAGCTGGACAGAGAGGCCACTGAAGCGAGACACTGGTGAGTTATTGTTATTTTTTTTAACTTTACGCGATCGCGATTGTTTAAAATTGTCTTTTAAAATTCTGAAAGGTACTAGTAAGCGCGCCTGGCACGTACATGTACAGTACGTGCATTGATGAGGCGAACGGACTAAAATAAATGAAGGTGAAAGCCAGGGGATTTTTTCCTCCCCATTTTCAGTTTTTTCCACAGCTGTAGTTGGGTTATGGTATCCATTACTATTTTATCTCATTCTAAAGCCAAACTCCGCTTCTTCGGAATGACGCAGAGTCGGGACTTAACTGAAGCAAACGCTTAAACTTGAAGACGGTTTGCACTGAATGAGGGGACATGAACTGCCGATATTATGCACTGTTACTTATGTGAAACCACACAATATGTAGCTCTATATAATGTACAAAATTTTTTTCAAATTTCTTTCTTATTGCATTGTTACAGCAACATAATTTCCCTGCACACGAAAGCCTACATTTAAATGGATTTTTGTTAATCCCATGAGACTCCCGCGATGTTCCAACATCGATGAAAAGTTTATCAATGTACATGTAATGCATAAAATGCAGTCATACATGTACTAGTACAGTATCATGCCAAAAAGATAAGTCCGTCAAAAACGGTACGTTTGGTGGTTTACAGGAAGTTTTCCTGAATTTTGTAAATTTCTAAACATACAAGAATAATAAAAAATTCATTTTGAAATAATAGCAATGGGGTAGTGATAAACGCGTGGGTAGCATGAGAATGGTTTTAATGTTACCCTCGCCAAACACGCGGCCGTGTAAACTGGTGTAAATAGCCGGTTTCTCCCCGAAATAAATTAGCAAAGTTTTACTTTTTAAACCATCGGACCTCTCAAGTTTGTGTTTGGAACTTCCATCAATCATTTTTGTGTCTCTTTTAATAATATTTTGAAAGAAGTTTAGTTTCATTTGGCAGGACAACGGTGTTTTCCCTGGACACCGGTGTAACGAAAGACCGCCCTCCTTATAGTTATAATGCTTAGGGTTACCCTGACCTTAGTGGGTCAAAAACTAGGGCGAGGATGACCTGTACAAATGAATGAGAAGCGGACCCTCTATCATGGGGGACTGTCACGTTACACCGACATACAATGTATTAAAGGGTTAACATCATTTAGGACAAAAATTGATTTTCTTGCGGTCAACAACAATTTCCCAATGGTTAATGAACCCGTTCCGACATTAAAAGTTAGTCCCTGTTTTTTTTCCAAAAGGTTTGGTTGTTTCCTAAAAGATAATTACAGAGGGTAGCCCTCTATGGCAGTCACGTGGTTCAATGGCAAACACAGATTCCAGAATAATTGCGATTACCGCCGTTTTGGTGGTAAAATAGATTTTTTAAAGAATATTTCTACGAGTTCTATACAAAGTATTCATCATAAAATATGGACCCGATGCGCAGGGTTATAATCCCTTAAAAGTGACGGTATTATCCAGATTGGTATTATAACTGATACAAACCTTTTATGATTGGTTTCCGTTTCAGTTCACTATGTCCGTCAGTCTTCCGGCGTTGGTGCTTGGCATTTTTCTATCCATGGCGGGCCAAAAGTGGAATCAAGCGTCAAAAATCGCCGTGAATTTTGACTGCGCAGTGATGGCGGCATTCGTATCCTACAAAGCTAGTTCCGGGACATTTAACCCCACCGAGGGGCGTATCTACGTTGACGGTTATTACGATGATGTTGACTGCTTCAGAGACTTCCCACCTTGGGATCTCAACATTATATTTGGCACGTGTGGAGTTAAAGAGGATGTCAATTTCACGGTAATTTTTCTCCATGATAAGGACTACTTTCTGGGTACCATCGACGAAGCACAGGTTTTCAATTGCAAATCGCACGCATTTCAAACGTCTCTTCGCAACGTCACGGCTTATGTGCCCGCTGGCGAGATAATACCCATCATTGGTCAAGTAGCGACTGTCCCAGGATACAACGTGACTGTTACCATGGTTTTAAAGAGAACAAATGGCGACTCAGTTATTGGCGTTAACAGCCAGCCAGTAAAATTGGGACAGAACGTTACCATGGAACTGAACGTGACTAAAAACGACAGAATCAAAATTAAAGCTTCACACTGCTGGGCGGCGGGTATCATTAAGAACAATACATGGAAACATCTGGATTTGGTCACAGGGGGTTGCCCCGCAGTTCAGTTCTTCAGCGGGTTCACCCAGGACCCCGTGGACAATCACCTGACAGCAACGTTCCCAATGTTTCTGATCACACCTCGCCATGACACCAACAGGTCCACCGGGTTCTTCTGCACCGTCACGGCATGCAGCGTGAACAACGAAGACCCAGAATGTACTCCGTCCGCGTGTCCGGGAGACGGCCCAGGGTGGGGTAGACGAAGGAAAAGGTGGGCCAGAGATATAGACGATCTTCTCGGATCGTTCAGTCATGTTGCTTTGGGTTATTTCGTCGATGTTATAGTGGAGTCGGATGCTGCCAAAATGCCCTACAACTTTTCGTTTGCCAACAAAACAACGTCTTCTCCGAAAGATAAAACGTGCTTCTCCCCCATTGTTTTCACCGTCGTACTCAGTATGATGATTCTCGTTCTTGTCGTCATGTGTGCACTTTCCTCTGGTTTTGTTGTGTATGTTAAACAGGACAGAAACCACCGAAGAGAAATTCGCGCACAGCAGCGGCAGGGGCCAACGAAAACTGAACTTAGAAATAAGCCAGAGCCCGGGTCTCCAGGCACATTTATCCGATGTCGCCAGAACAGTCTCACCCAAGTCACCTACTGCACTAGTACCTTGGAGTCTCGCCCTGGGGAGGCAGAACTATGATGCTTGTATACCATTTTTGTCGGTTATTGTTCAACATCTAAACATGGTCCTCAGAGGTCCCCTGTTGTAGTGGTTTATTTAGTGGTTTATTTATGAAAGTAGTACATTAATAACAAAAATAACTTCTATCCGTTATAATGTCAAACTGAACTGTGACAGATTAATCTAATAACCAAGTTTCCATACAACCAACGGGAATTTCAAGGGTCCTAAAATAAAGTAATAATGATCTGAGGCAGCACTAGCCGTTCCCTTTGTTATAGAAAACAAGCACCATGTTATTTAAGTGGCAGAGCACTTATTAATAATATATTGGCACAAGGCACATTAAAGAGCTTGATCTAAAAAGTTTGGTCCAACTTTCTTTCTATAGTTCTTTTATGACACCGATCCGAGAGATTTGCCTTCTATGAAAGCAACCATTATAGTCGGTTTGTATTGACCTGGATTTTCAAATTAACACCAATTAGGCCTACGACAGGAGATATAGGTCTTCCATGATTTTTTAAAATATAAAAACATAGACATCAAGGAGTGGATAATTCTAATGTACAAATCTTCTTTGTAATGAATTTTTGTTACCTGAAGAACCGAAGTTCAAGTCTCCTGATCATTCTAATTGACCAATGCTCAACTCATAGATGGTGTACATAGACAACCCCCAACATACCTATTATATTATTTGAAAATCGTTGACGTTGGACTTTATCAGTTAGAATAGATACAAAGCAGGCACACAGGCGCGCATGACCAGGTGAGTGGTGAACAAAAGACAGGCCTGGGCTAGTGGTCAAGGCATTGGAGCGAGACACGGGTAAGTTTACATCGACTAACGTGAATTATTGCAATTTTAATGAATTTTTGATTTTTTTGCCTTAGAAGTACCACATTTTGTATACTAAAGATGCATTACTCACGTGTAATAGTAAACAGTATAGGCCATCTCAAACATCATGATGCAGGGGGTACCTCGAACAACGTTGTTGCAATAATGCTGTCGTGTTCAGTTGCACTAATATGTAAATGCAATTATGTGAGTAATAGTTACCGGTAGTTGAGAACCGTCATTCTGTGATGTTTAATGTAGAACCATATTACATGTATCGGGGTGAGGGGTGGGAGGGGGTGCATAATGAAAGGCGCTCAGTAAAATTGGTGTAGGGGCTCATTTCCTTAGGTCGACCCAACCGGTCGACCGCTGAATGCAACCAACCTACCTGGATGGCACGTCCCTAAATCTTTAGACCATCAAATCTGGTCTGCTGCATTGTAAGAGAAACCCATATCGTAGTCTAGTCCACTTCAGTGGTATCAGCATTGGTCTGAAAGATTCTCCGTGTTTTTCTTCTTTGTTGCATGTACATTCACAACATTTATATTTATAGTTAGACTACATATACCACCTTTATGTGACCACCTTATCGCCTTATAAAATATTATCAAAATATCGCCGTATCTATTGGTGGACCCACCCTAATAAATACAATGTATAATACTATGTTCCTTGCTTATTTCAGTTCACCATGTTTACCAGAATATGTGCATTACTACCATTTATAGTGCTATTCTCGGAAAATCCCAAATGGAATCAAGCGGCCAAAATCGCCGTGAATTTTGATTGTGCGGTAATGGCGGCCTTTGTCTCGTACCAAGCTGGTTCTGGAACATTTAACCCCACCGAGGGTCGTATCTACGTCGACGGTTATTACGATGATATTGACTGCTACAGAGACTTCCCACCTTGGGATCTAAACATTATCTTTAATACTTGTGGGGTTCGTGAGGGCGTAAATTTCACGGTGATATTCCTCCATGATAAGGACTACTTTCTGGCTACCATCGACGAAGCACAGGTTTTCAGATGTAAACCGGACGTATACGAAACAGCTCTTCATAACGTAACTGCATACGTACCCGCTGGCGAGATTATACCCATCATTGGCCAAGTAGCGAATGTCCCAGGATTCAACGTGTCTGTTACCATGGTTTTAAAGAGAACAAACGACAGTTCGGTTATTGGCGTCAACAGCCAGCCAGTAACATTGGGGCAGAACGTTACCATGGAGCTGAGCGTCACCCAAAACGACAAAGTCAAAATCAAAGCTTCACACTGCTGGGCTGCGGGTATCATTAAAAACAATACATGGAAAACTCTGGATCTGGTCACAGGGGGTTGTCCCGCAGTTCGGTTCTTCAGCGGGTTCACCCAGGACCCCGTGGACAATCACCTGACGGCAACGTTCCCAATGTTTCTGATCACACCTCGCCATGACACCAACAGGTCCACTGGTTTCTTCTGCACCGTCACGGCGTGTAGCGTGGACAGCGGAGATGCTGAATGCTCTGAATCGGCATGTTCGGAAAATGAACCTGGTTGGGGAAAACGAAGGAAAAGGTTGGCTGGGAATATGGATGGCAATCAAAGGCCATCCGATCAAGTTGCTTTAGGTTATTTTGTCGATGTTATTGTGGAGTCAAAGAATTCCAAAGCGGAGCCTTCTGTTGTAAAGTTCAACCACGTGTTTACGGATGAAAGCGTGTCAACTTTTCATGATAAGTTCTGTTTCAACTCCGTTATGTTCATTGCTGTTGCCAGTGTGATGTTTCTTGCAGTTGTCATTCTCTGTGGACTCCCTATCTGTTTCTTTGTTTACATGCAACGGTACAGAAAGTACAAAACCAAAATGGAAACTAAAACTGCAAAATGAGAGAACTCAAGGCGGATGCCAAACTCGTGTATTTGACATTGCCAGAAAGTTGCACACTTGCCATTTTACTATTGGGCCTAAGTACCATGCAACCATGCTTCACTGTGTTATTTATGTGACAGAGAGATTGTGAACACCGCCCGAGAACGCACTTGGTAAGCGGAATATGACCCTGAATTGCATTTGCTGTGATAGTAGACACTGTGCGTTTTGAACTCCTGTGTAGGTACCGATAGTGGGACTCCTATATAAATACCCCGGTCCCAGTGTACACATATACTTAATTATCTCAGCTATATCAATCAAACTAAATATGTTTATCAGTAATGAACATGTACAGTTACATTGTCCACTGTGATGATATGTGGTCTGTGATGATCACACTTTATAGTTTGCAACATCAAATTGTTGACATTGTGTTTATATATTTAATATTTGTATTTATTGTGTCACTGAAAATGTTTTTCATCACAAATCATATATGTTATTTATACTCATATGAATGCCACTCACACGTTCATTATATATTTATAGGTGAATTATTTATCTAAGCAGTTGATTTATATATGCGTTTTATATATTTACGTTTTTATTCAAGATATATTTAATAATAAACCTTTCGTTATGTTGCGAATGAGTTAATTCATTAAATTGAAACGAAACAATTGTTCTGTCTGGGACTTTCTTATTGAAGGCACATATGACATACAAACAGCCATTTCTCATCTTTTTCGAATCGGGTCTTGTATCCTCTCTTGAGGGACTGTTATAATCTGACAGATAATAATAATAACACCGGTATCTGGTAAAATGATTAATGTCATATATGACAACAAATTTAGAGACAAATTGAACAAAAATTAATTATGAAAAATAAGCTATGTCACTTCACCTACTCTTACCCTCATACATTATTCATGTTTTTTTGCCCCCCCCCCAAAAAAAAAATAAAAATAAAAATAAGGTATACCTGTATGTGAACGCAAAGGACGAATTAAAAACGCAGTCACATTTTTGACAAAACAAAGTTTCTGCTCCCTCTTTCGTGGACTACTACTTATTTGTCGGGTGTCAAAATAGACTATAATTTTCAATGTGAAATGTTGACAAAATTCGGTCCCAGTCCTCTACTCAAAAGGGCCCCCCAATTTCCTGATAACCGCTACCCAAAACGTTTATGGTCACGGTCGAATGTTCAGATGATGACAGTGTTCTGTCCACAAGGTCCTTATGGTAGTAACCGCAAATATCCCCCAGCTGACCAATGCTCAACTGTCCGCTGTCAAGGTTATGCGACACCGTGGACAACAAAATATGCAGGGGCTAGCAACCTGATAATACGATACCTATGTGAAATCAAGCATATGCAAGGTATGTACGGGCTCTATGCACATTTTTTACTTAAAAATGGACCACTTTGAAGTGACATTTGCGTGTGAATTGGAAGTGATATGCCCCACAGTAGGACCCAAGGCACACTTTCTACAGGAAGACCTCGAGCTAATATAATACCGACCTCTCGAGCATTGAGCCATTATGTGAACGCGTGAGTTGGTTTGTCAAGTACATGTGCATGGCGTCATGTTTTCCTTCTCTTCCCGTGGCTCAGAAAACGAGCAGCGTGCAGCCTCCTGGCCCCGTGCACCTGCTGGTATCAGAAACATTGCTCTGCAATTTTTGTTTTGGAATGGAAAAATATGTGTGTGTTTATGTATGTGTGTGTGTGTGGTTAGGGGGAGGCGAGGAGGATCGGGAGGGGGGCTCCAATTCACTTACATACATTATATTGATAACTGAAGCCAAACTTACTATACAGCTTTTTTTAGTGTTCCTGTTAATAACTTCGTCGGTTACTGATATAATTCAGCCTAAGGTTAGTCGAAATTAAGTATATGGCTTATTGCGTCTCTATGGGCGCATTCCCATAGATTTTAGATCGATCTATCCCCGTGGGGAGTCTCACTATAGATTACTGTCAGATAATCTGGCTTAAATGTCCGTCCCGCCTACTACAAGCTGTAAGGGGGTAATTAAGTTTTTTGCCCGCTCGGCTGACAGCTATTTAGCGGGAACCCCCAGGGAGTTAGGTCGATCTAGTTGGATCGATCTAATCTCTGGGAATGGGGTCTATTTATGCTTTGTAAATACGTTCTGGAGTTTGGATTTCTTTGATTGTGACAAAAATATAATTGGCGTGGTTGTAAATTAGTTTTCCAGATCAGCGATAACCTGTGTGTCTGCGTGTGTTTCATTGTGTTTGACTGTATCAAAATGTCACATTTGTTTTGTTCAGGGGTTAGGATTTGCACGACAAGACAATTATTCGATTTATAATATTCAGATTATGTTATGTTACATGTAGTTCGTGTCATTCCGATATGTCATTAACGTAAGGTATAAGAAATTTGATTTTTTAGTTTGACTTTCAAAAAATATCGTTTCTTAGTTTTCAGGACAAATATGTATACCACACCGTTGCCTTGGCTTTTATCAATACTGGTGATTGTGGGAACTGTATGGGGCCAAACAGCAAAAATCTCGGTGAATTTTAATTGCAGTACCACGGCAGCCTACATTTCCTACGACGATGCCTCCGGGACCTTTAATCCCACCGAGGGTCGCGTCTACGTCGATGGCTTTTATGACAACGTAAATTGTTTCACCGACTCCGCCCCTTGGACCTTAACGGTGAGGTTAGGGACGTGTGGTGTGACCGTAGGGTCGAATTTCACGGTGATATTCCTCCACGATAAGGACTACTTTCTGGCAACCATCGACGAAGCGCAGATTTTCAGTTGCAAGACAAACAGCTTGAACAACACCCTTCGTAATGTCACTGCATACGCACCTGCTGGAGAGATAATACCCATCATTGGCCAAGTGGCCACAGTCCCGGGGTTTGATGTCTCAGTGACCATGGTTCTAAAGAGAGAAAACGACAGTTCGGTTATTGGCATCAACAGCCAGCCAATCACACTGGGCCAGAACGTTACCATGGAGCTGAACGTGACTCAAAACGACAAAGTCAAAATCAAAGCTTCGCACTGCTGGGCGGCGGGTATCATTAAAGACAATACATGGAAAACTCTGGATTTGGTCACAGGGGGTTGCCCCGCAGTTCGGTTCTTCAGCGGGTTCACCCAGGACCCCGTGGACAATCACCTGACTGCAACGTTCCCAATGTTTCTGATCACACCTCGCCACGACACCAACAGGTCCACCGGGTTCTTCTGCACCGTCACCGCATGCAGCGTGGAAAACGAAGACCCAGAATGCTCGCAGTCTGCGTGCCCCGGAGACGACCCAGGGTGGGGAAGGAGGAAGAAAAGATGGGTAAGAGACGACGGCGAATATCTGTTTTGGGACCCTGGTGTGGAAGATAGAAGAGACAAATTCAATGAGACGGCGCCGGAAAACGTTGGTTTGGGGTATTTTGTCGACGTAGTTGAAGAGCCAGCTGTTTCGTTAACGCTGCCGGTGAATCACTCAATAAGGAAAAAGACTATGACAGCCAGGTACAGCAATGATGGTTTCTGTCTAAATCACATTGTGTTTATTGCGGCTGCTGTCCTGGTAGGTATTGTGCTTGTCATATTTGCAGGTCTTTCTGTTTGTTTTCTAATTTCAATTCGATCAACTAGACGACACTTATTTAAAGACCGAGGAAAACCAGACGTGGCTAGACACTCTCAGAAATCAGCATGTTCAAGATGAGAAGGAAAACAAAGGGTTAAAATAAAGTTTCAGTGGAAAGGACCACGGGTGGTCTGAACTAGTTCTTTATGTTGAACAAATCAAAACCAAGAATAAAATGGAGACTAATGCATCACGAGTTGACATAACTTTTATAACGAGGTTTCCTCTTTGCATTTTAAACTGTTTCATGATAGTAACTTATCATCTGCGCTTGTTATATTAATGGCATGGTGTACTTTATCCGGCATTTTGCTTTATTTCATTGTACCCGTTAATAAGTTGAAACAAAAATGAATAAGAAAAAATAAAATGATAATATATTTAGACGGCCAGGAGTCTTCATATAGGTACATAGCCGCCTCCTTTTATGCATGTATGTAATGTGTGTTGCTACTGCCAGAAAACATTTTTCCTTGACGAAACTGAATTTGCTCGTCACCATATTGCCCGATAGAATTCTTTACCGCCATAGGGAGGGAACCATTTGGATGAGAGGAGTCTTCTTTATATCGATGTAAAACCACTTACAAATTTTGGTTACTTTATGAGGCCTTAATTGACTTGACCACTTTCTTTCGAAAAAAGTATCAATCAATGTCTTTCTACCCTTTGAGTATATTTTAAAAGCAAAACGTGAAATCTGATCTAAACTGCTGACCTTCCGGATTGCGGCAGAGGTGATTGTCACATTATTTGGCCTCCAGTTGGCGTCTTAGCACTGTCCAGTATATTTATAACATGGGAAAAACTGTTTTGTTTAGACAGGGGTGTGCAGTGACCATATTAGGACAGTCTGGGGTCCAAACGAAGCCGGTGTAACGAAACTAAGGGTCCGTGTAACGGAGAGTCCGCCTCCATGTAGTTATTATGGTTAGGGTTAGGGCGAGGCCTATTTGTACAAATGAATGGGAGGCGGACTCTGTCATGGGGGGACTCTCTGTCACGTTACATCAACTATTTTGGGGTAGGGCGGGGTGTATGTTTACTTCGTTTTTGGCATATTTTGAAAAATATTAAGAATTTAAAAGCGCCTTATCAACGCCCATAACATTCTGAATATAATCCATTATAAAATGACGTTCTTCATAATCCGAGAAAATGAGTAACTACCAGTATTATTGACAGTCTAACTGTCTGATACACATTTCTCTTGTTTATTTTTATCAAGTTTTAAAAATAAGAATCACCTCTTTCAAAATTTGAATTAAATGGAAATTCCAAATCACTGTAAAACGGTCAATATTTTAGCACGATTGAAATATATTTACCACTAAAGTGATTCAAAATTCGATTTACACTTTTAAAAATGAAAATCTGAATGTGTACATAACAAGGGGTTAATTCCATTATGTTCTACGTCTAGAATTTGAAATACATTGAAATTTCACCAAAACAGAATAAGTCTTTGGTCGTTACTTTAAAAGTTATCCCCAAAAGTCTCACAGGACCAATATGCGAATCGAGTGTGAAAAAAATCCAATGAACAGTTCTTTCCTGCGTCCTTAAAAAGAGTGCACTGTGAACTATCGACTTGTCACATTACAAAACTCAAAAATACTCAACACGTTTATTCCTACACTTGACTTACATTACACCATGCGTAACAATGTATATGTATGTCTTGGGTAAGATTCCACACGTTCTGGGCGCAACAATATATTTTTGTGTAACTAAATAAAATTATTTTATTACGTAAAAAGAACGCATCTTGCCTCTGAATAGAGACACAAGCTATCCAAAAATTTAATTGGGATATCTATGACAAGACGATCCCGAATGCTGTCACTTAACAGTAAATTAATTTCTAAATTATTTATAATAGGACGAATTCGAAATATTTTCTAAATCAAGAGAAAGGACGTTTTCACTTATCTTTAAGCTTCGTTGTTTATGACCAAAAACAAGACAAATTAAATTACTGACAACAACAAAATTGGAACAACCCTCAACCAAACAAGTGCCAAATAAGAACAATTAGAAAATTATGCTAAAAGTGCAGTTATTGCTTAATATTAAATGACGGTGAGATTGTGAATGTTGATTGATCAAAATAAATTACCTGAAAATAACTATCAGAATGAACAAGATAATGACAAAAATGCCACAAATATATGCACTTCCATTCTTACCTAATGGCACATTCACAAACAAAAAGAACTGTGTGCACCAACACTTATATCCATGGTCAAACATTGTGACATTAAGTGCTTTTTTATCTCAATAAATATGTCTTGAAACTATGCGAATGTAAGCACTATATGGAAATGATGCAATTTTTATGGAAAAGTTACAGAATGTTATAAGAACTGTTTGTAGTTTTAAAGTTGAATAAATTAAATTACTGGGATAGAGGTAGAAAAGGGCACATACACTGCAGATTAACATTTTTTCTATACATTAAATATACTCCTCTAATTTGAAATTCAGTGGCTATAAACTTTAACGCTTTTATCAGGTTCTGTTAAGTAAAGCTCATGACATTAACTTTTCTCATATATGATTTAAAAACAGTCAAACCAATTATATTCAGATCTAAGTGTAAAATTGATAGCTGAGAGCAATAAAAATCTGATACAAATCAGCTTACTTTAAATACATTGATTGTGGGCCACCACCGAAGTGACAATTATAATCAAAAATCTTTGACTAAATGTAAGATATGTGCTGGTATTTGAATTGTACAATACTATAAATAACTTAATGACCCAGATACACAAATCTGGTCAATTTCTGTATCTGGGCTAAAAACTGGTCATAAAGATCAGAGTTAATCAGGACATAAAAATCTTCTATAACAGCTTAGATACCTGGGGTGTAATGTACTCCATTCAAACAGTGAAGGTTAAATTAAAAGCACAGGCATTTTAAGCCTGATAAACATAAACTTACAAGATATGACAACTAAAATTAATCACAATATTTGGCCCCATAACTTGCAGCCATAGAAATTAACTTGATAAAAATTACCAATCAATAATTTCTCAGATAAAATCCCTTAAGAAATCATGTGAAATAAAAAATAATAATAAAATTAGAGTGATAATTTAAATGTTGGTGGTGATTCTGCCAGACTAAAAATCAAATTTCTTCAAAATATGTTTGTGCAATAATTATCTTTTAGACTACTATCATTTACAATAATTATTGTACAATGTTTTACCAAACCAAAAGTTATTACCTTTTAGACTACTACCATTCACTACATGAAAGAACAAAACAACAAAATGAAGAAATAAATAAAATTGCAAACCATGGTTTCACCATAGGTGCTCTCACTGACTGGCTCTAATAAAGGAATAACCTATATTTCTTACTAAACCGTCCACTTCCTCATGCGCACTTGCTTAGCTTGTTCCCTGTATCATAAATAGAACTATTAAAATATAACAGTTCAGGGGTATGAAGAAATAAAAATAATCAAAAAAATAAATTTGGTATAACAGATTTGATAGGCAAGAGGGTGGAGAAGTGGGTACAACACATACACAGTTTCTCTTTCAAATAATAATGTGTGAAGTCTCATGCCCTATAAGGCATACACCGGGTGTTATCTTTACACAATGAAAAGGTATCTAGTTTTTGAGTCACTCTTGCCATCGAAATAGAGACTGGTGAATTCCACTCATAAAGGTAAGATTTACAAGTTTTAAACTCAAAAAAGGGCAATGGTTTTGAATATTGTATGCTTTGATGATAAAAGGAAATGTGTTAAAATTTCCAGGGAAATTACAATGTCACAATAGAAGGGCCTGATGCTCAGTGTGTGTGTCCTTAACCGCAAATTAATCGTATTCATTGTAACTATGAAACAAAGAGGGCAGCACTGCTGCATAAAAAATAACCAGAAACAAGATGATCAGAACAATAAATCCAATGCCAACACCCAAAGCCCAGTGAGACATGCGACGAGCTTCGGCAGACTTTGCCTGGGCCTCGGTGATATCGCCGCGATTAATGGCATCTCTGCAGGCGAGAGCTTTCATAATGGCGAAAATACCAATGGGCCAGCAGCAGAAAATGGTTACCACGATGGCGTAAATCATGTGATCTGGAGGCGGGTTGATCATAGGAGTGTGGACCACCATGACAGTCTGAGGCTGGCCTGTGATTGGTTGACCTGAATGATTAATAATATCCATTTAAACTGACAATGTAAAAAAAAAAAAAATAATAATAATAATACTGACAACAAATAAATAGATAAAATGCATGATAATAATAATAATAATAATTATTATTTTTATAAGATAGTTCATAAGTGTATACTTATATAAATCTATCTCTACAGTAAGTATGATATGGTAATGCACTAGATACTGTAACAGTTATACAACCAATCATATGCAGTATAACAGAAGTCTGTTAGGCCACACAGGACAAAAAGCAAGAAGAATAAAATAATATCATTACCATATGGCTGACCCTGGGGGTAGTACTGGGCTTGTGGAGGGTATGCCCCCTCCTGTCCATATGCAGGGGGTCCACCCTGGGGGTAGCCCTGCCCCTGGGGTACTTCCTTGGCCTTGTCATACTGATTAGCAGTGGTGTCAGGATTATTGCTCATGTTGGGGAGTGTGGTCGTCTGAGAGGATAGATTCTGAAATAAAAAAAAGATTTTATATACACCTTGCCACCTTGTGCCAAAATACCAGTAGGTATCAAACATCTGGTGAGTAACAAGAATGAAGGCAGCAAATTTTGAGTTTCTTCAGCACAATTTTATTTCAATACATATTTAAATAATATTTAAATAAACCTAGAAATAACCACAAAGTGGCATTAAAAATGAGGGGGTGACATGAGAATATTTTTTCTTTTAAGTCTTAGGTGAACATGTACTCCCAAAATATACAGCCATGCCAACAGCCAGCTCCACACTGAATATGTACCCTTTAAATGAAGTGAAGTGAAGTGTACTAGTATCAAAAAGTACCAGTAAAATGCTTTTCTAACACAAGAATGTCAGTGCTAATAATTACTTTGGTGTCCCTTTAAAAGTTTTGGACGAAATCTAATTTAATTTGGCAGTTATAAATATAAAATATATATCTAAGACGTAATTATCTTCGCAACTTTTATATTTGGGCAGGAAAAATAGAAACTGGGCTAAACCAATAAGCCGGTAAGTCGTCGGGACTGAACGCACTTTCAGCTCAATTTTTCCTATCAGACGTTATATTAACTTGCAGCAGTTGAACTTATTATCTGTTTTAGTGAGTGAAATTTAAATTCCTATATCTACCGGCATTTTGATACAGACAAAAAATGGGCAAAATTAGACTTGCAGTCGGTACATGACAAAAAGAGTTGTAACTTGAGGCAGAAAACTAAGACAACGGTCCTGATAACGTACGTGACATGGCATGCCCCATAACTAAGAAAAGTAATAGAAAATGCATTATGTGCCTTACCTTTCAAATTTGATTGAATTCACTAAATGTCTCACTCGTTAAATCGTTACAAGAGAATTACGCAGCAGCAGATTTTGTTTTATGTTGTTTATTTCCGGGTGTTGCAATGCAGTCTGGGTAATTGATTGAGTGCAACACAATGGTTGCGACAGCAATTTTCACACCTAACACATTTCTGGTGAATGCTATCTCTTTTCTTATCACTGTCATGTATGATTTGATAATATAATCTGAATATCCTAAAGAAAAGACAGAGGTTATCTGACAACAAAGTTAATAAACTGAAGCCATCTCCTGGCAGATTCTGATATGTGAAATTGTACCGTATATGTATGGGTCCCCCTTATTTGGTGATGTAATTTGAGAAAATATTAATGACAACCTTGAATGTTTTCACTGGTTTGAAAAATGATTTTGAACCATTTAATACTAAACCAGGCATACAAAAGGCTAAAACTTAGTATAAGGGCCTATCCCAGATGGTTGATAATTTGTCTTTGCTAATAGATAAATAAATAAATAAAAACATATTTTATTTAAATTGTATAACTTTTTTTTTAATGCATGATTGGGAATTTGTAGATTTCTGAATGTCGCGTTAGTACTTTTTTTATTTTTTGGGAACAGATTCTCATCCCTGTACAAAAACCTTCCATGGAGTCCTTTATATTCTGTAGCTGACGTGTCTTCTGCGTTACGGAAGACAACTTTATAATGTTGACGGGAGTGTGGACGGGGGATCGAGTAGGCCGCAGTTCTACTTTAAAACTTCATAAACATGTCAAATTCCAAGGTGCAATTGGCGAGTCTAATCTGAATTATTAATTCCAAAAGACAACCAAATACAAGATCTTCAAGGACTACTGTTATACAGATGAAGAAATGATAAACGAAATCCATGGACCAATTTTTCTTTAAGATATGTTGCAAACAATAGACAATTATTCCCTCTTTGGTAATGCATAGCTCTGCTTCATTGTGGGGTGGTTAGGAACGATTATAATTTTTCGGTTAAAATATATTTATCATATTAATTTCAGCATAAATTCACAATGTTTGTTTATTAATTCGTTTATTTATTTAATAGTACATGCATGTATAATTAAGCTTATCCATCTATATTGTACCTGTTAATTTATGATTTTGTTTATTTACATATATTACTACTCATCACTACTCATCTATTGTGCATTTATAATTATTTTTGGGAAACATTAACTAGAAAATTGAAAAGCTTTGATTTAGTATCACAATGTATTTCACGAATGAAACCTTTTTTTTTTTGCTTTTTCACTGAATTATATTAAATGCAACTTGTGCAGTGATTGATATTTTCTTTTTCTGTCTACGTGTATAAGTTAACACCGAACGCTTCTTACACTAACAATAAACGATGGCCTTAACATCCAATTGACCTTTGGCTTTTCTATCTAATTTCTTGGTCAAAGGAAAAGCCATAAAGTGGGCCATAAAACATGGAAATAATCCAATCGATTTATCTGTCCACTTATATCTATTTTACGGTTGCTAAACTCTATATGCATTTCATAGTTTCACTAACAATAGAGTATTAAAGAGCAAGAGTTGAGCGTGTCGCATCTGCGCTTCTGTGTGCCGAGATCTGACCTTGGGTGCAACATGAAAGAACTGATCAAATTTTTGTTCAATTTTTCATCGGTGTTCGTCTGACGGCAGTGACGGCTCCTGTGGCGTTTTAATACGACGAGGATGGCGCACAGTACGGGGCCGTGTTTACGCCCTAATTAGCCATATGCTTCCGCTGGCTTTCGCCTTTGTCATGTTGATTGAACGACCATCAAAATGTGGTTTTTCGCCGCTAAAATTGACACAAAATTAGCAATCATCTGGCTGCGCCCTGTGAATATTTAATGTGCCGTGGACGCTTCACCTTAATGCTATATTAACTGACTTGCATTTCGACAATTTTCAGATTGATAAATTAAGAAGTACTTATTATTAGCGAGATGGTCGAAAGAAAGAAAAAAGAAAAAAATCGTTGGGAAATATACAGCATTGTTTGAGATTAAGACCATGCAATCTGTTTCGTGATAATGCTTAGTCAAATCGGCAGAGTCAAAGAGTGCATATGCATCTTTTTAAAAGTAATGGTTGCTAGAAATACCTTTATGACAATAGAAAGCGACGGAGCGTGAGAGATATTAGAGTAATAAAGAAATGGACAAAACGTAGAACAAAACAAAAGAAACGTAAAGGTGATGATATATGATAGTAATACTAATGGACATTGAGTATGGGGGTCAGGAGGATATTAACTACGAAAAACATTAACTACAACGTAAGATAGCAAAATGCACTAAAAGAAAAAATAGGAACAAAAAGGGGTTAATTATATATTTTTAGAAAATTAAACACGAAGCAAAAGATGTATGAGCGAGAGAGAAAAAATAAGGTGAAATTACGAGTCTCAAGCATGATTTGAAACAGGGACTACACATACCAAAGTTGCAAAGACAAAAAAAGAAAAAAGTGGAGGAATTAAGAATATGCACTTGCAGTCTTTGTTCCACTGTTTTTGAGGTGTGAGAAATGACACAACAGGCTTGGAATGAGAAACAGACAATAAAAATAATGAATAAGAATGGATGCATAAATATACAAATGAGAATAGAAAATAAAGATAAACAAAAACAAAATAATAAAGGACAACTACAAAGGGAAATGTAATTATACAGTAAAAATTAAGTTTATGTTTGGACCATACATCAGTTCAGATATAAAAAAAGTGGCAATTCCACTTTGTTTTGCTAATTTGATTGTATATTCAATGCACTGTCAATTGTAATATATTATTACTCTCTGCTCATGTACTGGTACGTTGAAATGCATTATCTATGTATAATCTATGTAAATACCCACTGTGACTTCTACTATACGTTGTCATCGTTCCCATTCTTTCAAATTAAATAACTTAATTCTTCAACTTTGCAATGCGTTAAATTAAAGCCTGTATCGCCTTTTCATAACCTGTTTGCTAAAAAGAGCTTGGCTAAGTCTGTCGAGTCACTTTCTTCAACGAGGGTCCTATTACTCAGATTACTGCTTGCACGCATTCACGTAACACTACTCGTGTTTGGAGGCGCCTCGGCGTAAACAATTTCTATAGTAAACACGCTTTTTTACTCACAATGATTGATCCACCAGTAACGCCCAAGACAACCGTCTGTGTGCACATGAATAAGTAAAGTTACTATGACTATGAACAAAGGGAGTTTATTCCGGGATTAATTGCATCGATTTAGAGTGAATGGACTGGGGTTGGACAATGATGAAATCACGCGATAGGAGTGTAGTCACATTGAGAAAAGATGGTTTGAATCTTCTACGGCTCTGCTGCCGTAGGTTTCGACTCTGTAATTTTAAAACAACTTAGAATTAAATTCCATTTGCTTATACACGCCGAATCAAATTTCATTAGAATAAAAGTTTGGCTTTTTTCACCCGAAAAACATGCGTCGTACGAAGCGACTTTATCACAGTGATTATACATACGTCACTCAGGCTGAGACAGATTCAGATTTGGCGCAGCTAAACTAAATGTGAACTCGGTCTAAGTTTGCGCGCCAATTCTTCCTTGAGCCAGTAGCCATGTAAAACGAGGACAAAAACAGCACGAGACAAGAGAGAACATCTAATCATATAAACACCAGAATCTGAAAAAGAAGTAGAATTTTTTTGCCACTCAGTAGAGTTGCCCTTGTTTCAGAGTTGAATATTTTGAAATATATTCATAAAAACGAATGAAAGTAATGGTAAGTGTGTAGAGCAAGTGAAAGAAATAATCGAATAATTAAACGAACAAATTAATTAACACACGCGAGCAAAAGAACGAATAAACTTATGAACGGAAGAATAATTGGGTAGAAAGTTAGCCAGTCATTCTTTCAGACAGACAGACAGACAGACAGACAAGGAATCTGTCAGATAGAAAAACAGACTGACGGATAAATAGATAAAGAAAATCGAACCATCAGGAAAACTGGGAATTATTGTTGACTTCTGTAGCTTTTTTTTGGTACTAACATACTTAGAAAAATCGAAATCATATCCGTTTGACATTTCATAAAGATTCACCATGAATATAAATTGAGAAGCGATATGCTTAAAGATATTTCCGTTCAAATAAACAACCTCCTGCCTCGAATGTCTATGTATCTTATTTTGATCCGCTAGCTTGTAACAGGGTCTTCCCGCGGTGACTAACTACATCTATACTCTCACACACACAAACTCTCTCTCTCTCTCTCTCTCTCATTAAACTATAAAGCCCCCTTTACACTGGACGGCGTCCCTTCTGCGTCCAGCAGTACGGCCCCATTTGAGAGTTAAAAATTATAATACTTTACGTGCCGACAACTGGCCGATCATTGAGCAT